GTCACCAGATTAAAACCTCTCCCTTACTCTTTATGGAAGTTTCAGATTTTATTTCTTTCGTCCTTCATCACGATGGAACGCCCCTACCCACCCCGATTCGGCTATAGCCTTTGGTTGAAAGATCAAATAAGCACCGGGGGGGGGGGGTTTGCGGTTTGGGGTTTGGGGTTTTTGGGTGGCTTCAGGGCCTTGAAGTTGTTTTCAAAGATATCATCAGCCCCCACTTACTATACATCATCTGTCATCTCAACCCAGCATTTTGGTGGATGGATATTCGATATTCCATATACAACAGTTGCATAGTTCAACGAGGTCCGTAGTTCCTCTCGATATCTATTGTAGTAGGTTACATATGAATGGTTGGTTTAACTCGTTAACTAGCTGGCGATCAATTAAGCGGCTCTTAGTGTTGCCCTCATAGTTATTGAGTTCATGGCTGCTACATATAACTATCTAATGGTCAACAACAAGCTGCTTCGCTACGAATATTGTCTCGAGCTCTGAGAGCAATGACAGAACTATCTGCTGGCGAAGCCGCAACAGATGAGATGAGTGTAGTTACAAGAAGCCCAATTCACTTTGGGCCGTTTCTTGTAACGCCGCAGGTACGTTTACTGGAGCCTAGACGTCCACCCACAGGCTCTCAGTCCAAAGGTTCCCCATCGTCACTCCAATAACTATAAAAAGACATCGACGAAGAGACGGCTAACGAGCGTTCGAATAGGTCTTCTTCGTCACACCTCTTTCTTTCGCCCTTGTGAACCTCAAACCGCTTCTGCCAGGGCATGTCCTAGTCTGTCCGATCCGGCGCACCCCACGACTGTCAGACCTGACCCCCGCTGAAGCGACGAATCTCTTCCTCACAGTCCGCCGAGTCAGCCGCATGGTGGAACGCGTCTACCAGGCCTCGAGCTTAAACGTAGCCATTCAAGACGGGGTTGATGCAGGGCAAAGCGTGCCTCATGTGCATGCGCATATAATACCTCGGAAGAAAGCAGATTTGGATCATAAGGGTGGCTCGGATGCGATTTACGGTATGATGGATGGCGAGGAGGGGGATATTGGTAGATTTCTGGCTGAACGGAAACTTGCTATGGAACGTAAGCGGGCACGATCCGAATTTTCTGCTGTTGATAACGATGCTAGAGAGCCTAGGTCGGACGAGGAGATGCACAAGGAGGCGGAGACCTTGGCTGCAGAGATGGAAAAGGAGATAGAGATGGAAAGGGAAAGCTCTAAGAGAGTATATGACGAGTGAAATGCTGGGGGGAATCGGGTATACAAGAGGTTTCTACAGGATTACTGATGGCCTTTCCGGTGTTGATTGTATTTCAATATTCAGAGGTATATATATAGAGTACTATGAGTGGAGGTTCTATCCTACCATGCTTCTATAAATGATAAATCCAATGATTTTGAGATCCGCAGACCCATCCATTTCAGCTGAAAAAATAGCCTGAGTGCCGTGTGAGTCTTTGAAAAGATATCCCTTTCAAGAAGAAAGCTCACAGTTTTCGTGCCAGGACCAGAGCGCTGACCCATTCAATCTTTACGAGTTTGTCCTCTGGAGACGGGATATCCCGCAGGCCGTCCTCTGACTTAATGATGGCCTCTAACATCTGGTCTGCAATATCGCCAGTCCCACCCTCGCTCCGTCGAACTTGGTCTGGATGGTCGTCTTTCCAGCGTTGATATGCACTCCATGTACGGACATACTCAGTTGCCTGACCGAGTGTGATCTCAGCTTCCATAAACTTCGTTCCCTCGCCCGAATCAGGGCCGTTAAGACCTGGCTGGTATTCAAGCCGTTGAATATCTGCCCATTGGTCTGTCGGTGGCTGGATAGCCCGTAGCTTCTCCCGCATGATCGTGCTTCCAGGCTGGATCCAGTATTTGGCAAGACTGTCCTTGTCCAGGCCATAACAATACTCTTGCATTACTGCGGTGCCCTTGGGGTAGTCCACAAAGAAGTGATCATAATATCCCCAGAAAGCGAGGGTACCACCCGGCTTCATCACGCGTTGTAACTCTGCGAAGAGCGGCGGGTAGCTAAACCAGTGTGCAGCTACTCCAGCCACAACCATGTCTACGCTTTTATCCTCGATGAATGGAAGCGACTCGGCAGCTGCTTGGACGAATTCAACGTTCTGCTCCTTGGTCAGGTTCTTCGCCTGCTCTATCATGCCAGTCGATGGATCGATGCCGTAGACCTTCTTGAACTTCGGGGCCAGGAAACGCGCAATCAGGCCATGGCCGCATCCAAGATCTAGACATGTATCGTGCCCGCCGCGGTGATACGCGAATACCATGTCATAGAGCTTTTGAGGGTATTCTGGACGAAACGTGGCATAGGCCGTGTATGAAAAGTTGTTACTCCTGCAGAGCTCGGTGGCAACAACTCAGGCCGTCCATCTCGATTAGTCGCTTTTTCTCATAGCAAAGTCTGGATATCAAAGGATTTTACTAACGCAAAAGTTGCCATCTTCTGCTATTTTTTTTTGAAGTATTTCCTCTTGGTCGGTTACCTTAAATATGTTATGCTGTCAATCTGAAATATGGTAGGAAGTGAAAAGGAAGTATGGAGTTGAATGGGGGGCGTTCATTCGACTTTATATAGGCAAACCACCAAAGCGGCATGAAAAAAGTAACCGAACTTTGCCGAGAGCCATCGCCATGAGCAAGACATTTGCGCTCCTGTCAACGTCACCACAAAAATCCCGGGGCGATTGGTTATATTTAGAAAATCTAGAGACCCTGAAAATCCACCTTTAAGATCCACCGTAGCAGTTATATCCATGAATTTTGGCCGGTGAACGGTTCCCGTGAAGCTTAGCCATATAAGAGGCCCCGTTAGCTGCGAGCTGCACGCCACGAACCGTAAACAAAAAAATACATCATGCATTGAAGGATGTCTCGGCAATGAGGAGCATCCCGTATCCGTCGAGATCGTCCCGCATGAAGTGGTTGGGATTTGCTGTCCTCCGCCGTCCTCCGTCTATCTCCAGCCTAATAGACACAAGCTATAAGCATGTGTCTATCGGAATGAGAACCTGATCCTCCGCCTCCATGACATAATAGCCTAGATCTAGTCCGTCGTAGGTGACCACCTGTCGCCAGAATCTGCGCCAGGACTGCCGTGGATGCGACTCCTCTGTTTTGATAACGGCCTCCGGCTGGACCATAAGGACCCTGGTGTAGATGTACTTATCCAAGGCAATCTCTAGACATTTCAACTTGGTCGAGTAATGATGTACCAGCTGGTCAGTCGTATAGAAGATCGCCGCACCTACAAGACGGTAGCCTTCAAGGCCAGGCTGAATCCACCCGGATACTGTGTGGGTGCTCCTCTCTATGAAACGACCGCCTCTCCTGATGTGCAGCCGCAGGCAGCGTAAGTGAGGGAAGAAAGAGCACAGGAATGCAACGAGTGCAGCGTGGTCTCCGACGTCAATGGCATCGCCGTCCGGGATGATTCTAGATGTTAGCTCAAGCGAGGTGATCCCCCTGATATGATGTGCCGGGATCAAATCTGGCAGCTTGAAAAAGAGGCCATCGTAGAACTCGTCGTTGATAATGAATGTGTTGGTGTGATATAGGACTGACATCGCCTCCGTATAGCTATCCAGGCACAGCGTTAGACATTAAACATTCAATACACATACTGTTAAAAGGTAAAAATAAGGCGTACCACTGGCGAGACGTGAGGAGCCACTCCAGCACTCCGATGAAGCAGCTTGAATGATCTCCATAGTGAGCACGGCAGGACGTATACTGTGGCAGCTGGCAGCGGTCGTTCCAGAAAGGGAGGTTTCTGTACCGATGGCAGACGCAGTGCCACCACCGCCATTGCAGGTTGTAGTCGTCGGTCCGCTTGATGGTGTCGAGGCGAGCGTGAGCCTTCCCGGCCACGTACGAGGTGGAATAGTTCAGGCTGACATGTATCGTCCGCGCCCCAAACATGGCAATATACACCATCCGCCGGATCTCAGGCGGCAGCCGCGTGAAGAAGAGGCTGTTCTCCGTCGCCCGCTGCTCGTCTGGCACGCTGGTGGGATATGACAGCGACAGCGGCCGCCGGTTAGCAGGCAGGATCGGTATCAGGGGCGTCCGCGGCCGCTGGAGACGACGGCGCGGTGGTGGACGCCGCGCAGGCTGCTCGCTGTGCCCGTCTGTCTGGCCGCCGCGATGGGTTATCTTGCGAATCCACTGGCTGAATTTCGGCATTTCTCGTCCCTCGTCGACACGTTCTGGCGTCGCAGCTGCAGAGAGGCGTCGGTAGAGAGCGTGGAGGGACTGCCAGGCGGTCCATCGCAGGCCAGCGCAGGGCCCTGCAGGCAAAGAAGGCTGGGGGGGTTATTTGAGCGCGCGATGACTTGCAGGGCCGCTAGGGGGTCAGCGATGCGACGAGTCCGATGTTGGTGCCCGCCGCCGCGCCGGTCAGCAGCAGGGCTGGCATTGGAGTCTTCCGGTGCTCTGTCTGTCTGTCTGTCTGTCTGTCTGTCTGTCTCTCGCCCGTCGTCCGTCCGTTCTCCGCTGGCACAGGCTCTGGTCTCTGCTCGCTGGTCCAGCAGGCCGATAAATAAACAAACCGCTTTGGCGACGGGCGAACCTTGCGGGCGGCAAAAGCAATTAGTTGGCTTTAGTTACGCCAAAACAACCGGCGGGGCGAGGAGCAGAGCGCAGGATCAACAACCTGCGAGCCATCTCCGACCGTCCGGTTGATATTGATAATTGATATCGATATTGATAGCTACTGTTGCGTCTGCTGCTCGAGACTGGCAATGTCTGCGGATATGGAGGCTGCCGTCAAGCTGTTCTTCTCGTCGCCGCGGTTTGCGGTCGCTGGCGCCAGCACCGATGCCAGCAAGTTCGGCTACAAGAGTACCAAGATACCCTTTCCTCTGCCTTGATGATAGCAGCAGCAGCAGCAGCAGTGATGATGATGCTGATATAGTGGCATTCTCTAGTCCTCGCGTGGTATCATGAGCACTCGCTGGCCGTCACTCCGCTGAATCCGCGGGCGCCATCGATCTCGCTGCCGTCCAAGTCATACACCACAGTGGCATCCCCCTCCGACCTCCCGATGCCTTCCCAGACGTCCCTCTCGATCGTGACGCCGCCAAAGGTGACTATCCAGGTCCTGCGAGATGCAAACTCGGTGGGCGTACCGGCTGTGTGGCTGCAGCCAGGAACCTACGACGACGAGGTGCTTGAATACGCCCGTGAGAACTTCAAGGCCGCCATCGGGGGCCCCGGAGGACAGGGCAGCGAGGGCTGGTGTGTCCTCGTAGACGGCGAGGCTGGACTCGATGCTGCTGGCGTCCAGTGGACTTCTCAAAAGCTGTGAAAAGAGACAGTTGATATTTGGCTTGACAGACTTGATGTACACGAAAAACTTGCATTCTTGAACATAACCGTACGGCTCGATGAATATATGGGATAAAAGCAACGGCTTGTTTGCTACAAAAGATACGGCAAGGCTGTGGTTCATAGTAGCACGGATAGATATTATCCTGATAGACAATCTCATTTTGGTTTGTATGCGTAATAGGAGCATATCTCGGCCTCCCTTGAAGCAGGGCAGGGCATTCAATAAGTTATCAATAAGCATAACATCTCGTTTTGCTGGTCCAAAAAAGGAAGTGAAGAACAAACTTGGTGAAACTGAGGGCTCTTGTCTTTTATGTCCCTTCAAGCTGAACGAATAGGATAAACATGGAGATAATGAAAAGAGAGACATGGTATCATCAGGTCATTAAGCGTGACATCATCGGGATATAAATATACACCCGTTGAAGCATGGTTCGTCAAAGCATCGAAAGAAAAGAAAGAAAGAAAAGAAGGCAACAGGCTAGAAACGCAAGAAAAGAAAATAAAAGAAATGGAAAAGAAAAAGGAAAATCATCAAATAAAAGGGGGAGATGGATCAGTCCCATTCATCAAGGTCCATTTCGTCAACCTCGATCCGAGTTCCCAGCGCCTGTCTCCCTTCTCTGATCATGGCCTTCAGCTGGTGATTCAGCCTGCGTATGCTGGCATCTTCTTCACGTTCCTTGCGCCTCAGTTTGGCAGCATGTCTCTGAGTCTCTCGTGACAACGGGGTTTCGTTGGGGTTTGACACCGTAGTGTGCTTTGGTGGCGTCTTGTAGACAGATGCAGATGAAGGAGAGTAGACATGCGGAGAGAGGTTGGTGGAACGTGTGGGTGTAAGAGGTGTCGTGGGCCGCTTGGTCTGTACTCTGGCACCAGAACGGCGTGCAGGGACATGGTGAACAACGCTGTTCCGGCGAGCATGCTTCTTGGAGCTGCAAGATGGGCTGCTCTCCCGTGAATCCTCGTCTTCCTTGACGAGAACCCAGTTGTTGTGTATATCTTCCCGGCGCGGCTTGTCGATGTGATAGTTCTCGTCAACCGGGTAACGGCCAGGAACTGGTATATCATCCATCAAACGGCTTGAGCGTCTCCGTTGTGACAGAGAGGGCCTCTCCCGTTTCTTGCTTGGTTGTACCGTTGCTGTGTAACCGTTCATATCGTACCCCCTGCCTCCGCCGGCGTGAAACCCTCGGAAGGGAGCTGACACACAGAAATTCCACACTTTACCAGCAACGCCTCCAACGAGGTTGAGGACTGCCTCACCCCAGCCTGGAGAATTTTTCACGCCGGTGTCATCGCCCTGGGGTATCGGGGAGTCCCGTTTCCGTTTTGTTCCTTCGGCATTTGAGGGTGTAACTGGTACGTCCACCATTGTCCGACTGGTCTTTCGATACCTCGTGGGTCGGTAGTCAAGCTCTGACTCCTCGTTATCGCCATCACGCTGTGACGAGAATCCTAGTATCGGCTGCCCTGCCGTCGTCAACAGCCCGGTATCCAGACCTCCCTCTGCCAGTAGGTATTCGGTGTTGGCCAGTGGCACAGGACTCGAGATCCGCGAGACGGGAGACTGACGGTCCCAGATAGCCCGGTCATCAAGCCCGCCATATCCATAGCGAGCACGCTTGCAACTGCCCATGAGCGGCGTCGAGAGAGTGCGACACAACGACAGCGAGGATGCCGTTGAGGCTGGCTGCGGCGAGTGGTAGAAGCGAGATCTGGCACCGGTCAAGTCCAGCTTCGGCGGGACCGGGCTGTCGATGAAGAAATCGCCAGACATGGAAGAGTTGCGTAAACGAGAACCTGTACTTCGTATCCTGAGTTGCTGATGAAGTTTGACGGGCTGGGAAGCAGGCTGAAGGGCGAGCCTTGTGCCTTGATATTGACGGTCACAAAGGAAAAAAATGAGGCTGGGATTTGTTTGGCTGGGAAAGTGACGTTAGGCCTTGGCGTCCTTCCAACCACCTTTTTTTTCCTTTTCTACTGATAATCAGCTGGCTGGGTCTAACTTGCCATCACATGGATACATAGCAGGGGCGCTACTATAGCAAATATAACAAATATATACAGGTGAGAAGATAAAGAGGGGACGGCGGAAAAAAGGAGGGCAGCACTGCTATGGCTACGCCCTACGTCAGATGTGCCCTTTTTTTGCTGCCTGTTAGTACCCATACAGGTTGGTGGATGTACCAGTCCCCTGCAGCCGTTTGTTCTCCTTTTTCAGGAGATATCTCATCCACCAGGCACAGAGGATCGAGAAGAGGGCAAAGCCAGCAGAGGTGCCAAAGCCGATGCCGTACCTGGGCGAGTCGTAGTTGGGCCAGACATACGCTCCGTATATGTACCCTATCTGGCCCCCAACGTTTGTCATGGCAAGGACAACCTATATTTATGGGGAAACCCGTCAGTCTTTGTATAGCTTTCGGGTAACTAGAAGTCTGGTTCTGGTTCAGGGGAGCTAAACTTACAGCTTGTTTCTCGCGGGTTTGAGATAGGGTTGATGAAGCCCAACCAATGATGACCGAGTTGACTGAATAGGCACCGATGGGGAAGATGAAGCATGCGACGTAGCGTCCCGCGGTGTTCAGAGTTGAGGCAGCTATCACGAACCCGACGATGGCCGTTGCAAGGCCCACGGTGATATGCCAGGTACGCTCGTGGAAGCGTCCAGATGTGTATCCAAAGAGAACACCCGCTGCTCCGGCGAAAAGGAAGGGTGGGCATGTCAATACCAAAGTGATTGTTGTATTGAAGCCAAGAGTCTTGACCACACTGGAGCTCGTGGGGAAACGGTGTTAGCTGTTTGCTGAACTTATACCCAGGCTGGATAGGATGAGAAAAAAACTTACGTCGGGAAGAAACTATTAAATCCACAGGCAGAGAGATGAAAATTCTGCATCAAACAGAAGATCCACGTTCTTGGGTCTCTGGCTGCCTGCTTGAGGCCTTGCATGGTCGATGCTTTCTCCGGCTCTCCCATCTTATCTCTCTGGATTCTCTCATGGGCAAGTTCTCGCTCGACAGGTTTGAGCCATCGAGTAGTCAAAGGCGTGTTCGGGAGAAGCCAGAAGCCAGCAATAGCGACGGCAGCCGAGACGGAACCTTCGATGATAAAAAGCCTGAAGAGCGTGAGCAAATGTGGACATGGTAAAATATACATTTTTTTTTTTTAAGACTGCCATACCATCGCCATCCTGACAATCCCCTTACTTGGTCGAGACCAGAGAAGACACCTGCAGCAATCAACCCAGCGAACCCAGTTGCCAGAATCTGGGCTGCATATAACATGGCGATTCGAGCGGCAACTTCTCTTCGGGTATAGAAGATGGATAAGATATATGTCGCTCCGGGATAGAACTAAACGGCTGACAGTTAGAAATGCGCAACACCGTCCAGTCCGAGTGTGTACACTTACAGGAGCTTCCGTGATCCCAAGAAGGAACCGGCATACCACCATCCCAGGGTATGACTGAACCAAAGCCGTGCAAGCTATTGAGGTTAGATTGACCCTGACCATAGGCGGCTAACCAACCACATACCCGAAACCGCTGACCACACTAACATCCATGCACTCATATATAAACTCGGGGGCACTCTGGTGATAAGCATGTTACTCGGGACTTGCGTGAGGACGTATCCAACAAACAAAATGGAAATCGTAGTGTTGAACTGGGTGCCGTGCATGCCGAGTTCTTCCTCCAGATTGTTCAGACGGGCCTGGGCAAGCGTGTTTCGATCAATGTAGTTGAGGAAGTACATGAAAGTCAAGGTCGGCTACATTTTTGTGTCAGCTTTCTGAAACAACCAGAATCATCATTAGGGCAATAACTCACCATAATGCGCCAGTCCAGCTTTCGAACCAGCCTGACCTCCTCAGGCGATAATTTGGTGACGGCACCAGCATAATCACGGTCTTCTACTGTGACTTTCTCGTCCATTCCATCTTCAGTCTTTGTCCTCTCTATCTGGTCATCGGCTCCGGCAGGCGAGATGCCTGTCTTTTCGGATTTCTCTGAGCCCATTTTGACTAAAGACAGTTCCAGAGCGCACACAGCTCAGTGCTAGTCTAGAGCAGTGAGTATGTGGACGCTGTAGACTTGCTCGAGAGTCCCTGAGGGATGAGGATTATGAGCACCTTATCAGCTCGTGGCGGTCGGTCGATCAATTACCATGAGCATTCGACTGGGACGGCTGGGTGCGCTGCTGTCACTCCTAGCGCAGGGATGCTGTCAAAGGATGTACAGTTACATTATCAGTCCAACGGCACCCTCCATCGCTGGCCAGCTCTTTTCCTACTCGTCTGTTTTTACCTTTTGCATGGGAAGGAAGCTGGATCGACAGCTTGCGATATCACGGGACCGGGATCTAGGTCTATGCGGGGAAGCTTTAGCCAATGAAATCTAGTCTAATAAGCGGATCCACCATCATCGATCACCTGATTGGCGAGCTAATCTCAACCCCGGCCCAAACGCAAAAATAAGATACAACAAGCTCGTTTACTACAAACTTTGTGCTAAGTAACTCACCACTACGGAGTACTCGTAGTACTAACGAGTGAAAATCTGGGAGAGGTGAAGGGTCTAAAGGTTCAGGAGCAACATGGCATATTTTAGAAGGCGAATTCTAGAACGTGAAGTGATTATCAGAGACAGATGGCAGGTACTGGGGCTTGGCATCCTTCTATAACGTGCAGCTGTGGAAGGATTGTTACTGACACCAAAGATATAGGCATGGATCTTTGCGGGCCTGTCAGCGGCAGATCAAACATAAATACACACGGATACTACATCATACTCTCGCCTAAATGCTGCAGATTGTATTTGAACGTTGAACAGGGGAGACAACGCTTACAGAGAGAAGTCAAAGATAGGCCAATTCAACAATGGATACGATATAACAGCTCCATTCGACAAGAGCTTGCTTGGTCACCTTCGGTACTCTGGCTAAAGATCAAAGCCGGGAAATCCCAAGCTGTCTGAAATATAAATCCAGTGTAGGGAACTATAATCGAGTCGAGGCTACGGCGGAGGAGAAACAGGGGATGAATACAAGAAATTCCGACAACAAGCTCCCGAACGCAAGCCGAAGACACTTCTCGCATCATATTAAAACTTTTTAACGATTAGCTAGCATGTATCGAGCACTTCTTACTTGATATAGTCGGACTGGAAGAAAGGACCTACGGAGGACTGTGATAGCCTGTAGATAACGATAGCCAGAAACAACGCATCCACGCCGAAAGTGACGGTCGAGTTAAGATTATCACAAGCCCTTGCTTGACTCTTCTTCGTTCATCGCAAAAGCCGCCGGCTGCTCGTCCCTGTCGCCTTTTGTTTTTTTCGCTCGGCTTTTGGCAGGGGCAGCCTCAAACACGTGATCGATAATTTTAGGGGGCTTCGCGTTCCTTCAAGCGACCCATCGCTGGTTTCACTTCATTAATTTGCCCTGCTCAGATTCACGGTTGACCCTGCTTGCAGTCCGCGCAAGCGCTGTAGACGATAATAACCGCAGCTGTGGCTTGGTGAGCGGTGCTGGCGCATTGATTGTGCCATTGACGCCTTGGTTGTTGACCCTTATCGGACCATCAAGGTATCTAACCACAACACTATGTCGCGGGGGAATATGGATAAGGCTGCGAGGTTCAATTGAATGATTCCTGGAGCTAACAGCGCCCTGTGACTAGGTCGCCGACTTTGGATGGGAATATAGTGCATTTATATATACCATAAGCCCAATATGACCGCGGCTTCAAGTCCGCTTAATCGCCAACCAAGCTGGATTCCCCTTCTCTGTGCAGTGGCCGCCCTCTCCCTCCCGATAACCATTCACTTTATACGCACACGGAATGATAATATGAGCACCGCCGCACTTCCACTATCCTCATCCCTCCCGTCTCTTCCGTTGTTTCTGGAGGCGCAAAAATGGGCGTCTACAGATCCCGGGAAGGTCGCGATAATCGATAAAACGAAGGACCTGAGTTTTACCTACCGCCAGCTACTCAATGATGTAGCCGCATTAAAGAGGCGGATTTTGGCTCAGGTGAAAGTTCAAGATCTTGAAGAGAGGAGGATAGCGTTCCTTGTACCGGCTGGCTATGATTATGTGGTTTGCCAGTGGGCTGTATGGGCGGCCGGTGGTGTCTGTGTACCGTTGTGTAAGTTTAACTTCCTCTTGGTGGCTAGCAAAGACCTATCATACTAACTGGGATACAGGCACATCTCATCCACCAAAGGAACTTTTATATACTATCTCGGACTCGGATCCGTCCTTAGTGGTGCTACATAGCTCGTTCCAACACTTGCAGCCCGCTTTGCTAGACAAGTCATCCAAAACCTGCTTCATGGAGCTCTCACCCATTACTGAAAGCAGAAGCTGTACCTCTATACCCAATCTCCATCCGGCTTTTGCGCCGTCACGAAGAGCTCTAATGATCTATACCTCTGGCACAACAGCAAACCCCAAGGGCTGTGTCACGACACACAAGACGATAACGTTCCAAGCAACATCCCTCATCCAGGCCTGGAAATATTCCCCATCCGATCACCTAATCCATGTCCTTCCTCTCCATCACATTCACGGTATCATTAATGGCCTTACGGCGACCCTACTTAGCGGTGGAACAGTCGAAATGTATGCCAAATTTGATCCTCAGATTGTCTGGGAAAGATGGAGCAATTCTGGCTCATCAACAATGTTCATGGCTGTCCCAACAGTGTATTCGCGGCTAGTCGACTACTTCGATACTCATATCAGATCCACCGACTCCGAAGCAGCAGCTAGGGCGGGTGCTGGCGCATTGAGGCTAGTAGTCAGCGGCTCTGCAGCCCTACCCACGCCAATTAAGACTAAATTTCTTGAGATAACCGGACAAACTCTACTCGAACGGTACGGAATGACTGAAATTGGCATGGGACTTAGCTGTGGCCTGGACGTTTCGCGACGTATTGAAGGGAGTGTTGGCTGGCCCCTCCCTGGCGTACAAGTTCGTCTAACACACCGGGAAACTGGAGCTCCGATTCCTCTTACTTCATACAATGAGGACGGTATGATTGAAATCAAGGGTGACAACGTATTCCTTGAATACTGGCGGCGGCCTGAAGCAACGGCTTCCGAATTTACCAGCGATGGTTGGTTTAAAACGGGGGATGTGGCAAGGCGAGACACAGCTGGTGCGTACTACATCCAAGGCAGAGCCTCAGTGGACCTGATCAAAAGCGGCGGGTATAAGATATCTGCACTGGAAGTTGAAAGAAAGATGCTCGCATTAGAAGAAGTCCAGGAGGTTGCCGTCGTGGGAATTGCTGATGAGGAATGGGGCCAAAGAGTCGCTGCCGTTGTTAAGCAGAGAGAAGGAGTAAGTATTCCCTCCAATGCCCTTTTTCTGCTCCACAGGATATCATGTCAAACATTAGACCATTACTAACCAAAACTCAAGACCGCAAAACTAGAGCTTCAAAGCCTCCGTACAAAACTGAAGTCGGAGATGGCAGCGTATAAAATCCCAAGTGTCCTGAAACTGGTTGACAGCATTGAGAGAAACGCCATGGGCAAGGTAAATAAGAAGATGATTGTGAAGAAGTACTGGCCAGATCTTGAGTGATTATGGTTATACTTACCTTCGAGCTCAATGCTTGGAGGCTCATTCATATAAACTGCCACCACAAACGGTGGTTTTATATATCTTGTAAATAATGCCCTAAGATTATGCCGATTATAGACCCATATGCACGCGTGCTGGGAATCATTTTAATTTATATATACCAGTAGAACAATGTACGGAGTGGTTATCATGACTAATTGGTTTGAGCTGTGATGTTCAAGGCATGGGATTTTTTAACCGGACTAGCAAGGAAGTGGGCGCGTAAGGGGCTAGTTAAAAGCTGCATGCATGGATAGCACCTGTTTCATTCGTACCACGGGAAAATTGTTATCCGGTGATCATGTTCAGTTGTAAGGGCTGCTTTAAAGCGCTTAACCATCGTGCATACAAAGATGGCCAAACGTGCTTTACAGGGACTTTGGGCCAGGTCCTTGCTCGGCCGCAAGCAGCGGACGATATTTTGCGGGAAGGGCGCTGAGCTGCCTCCAGATACCTTAATTGAAGAAGAAATTGTACCTGACTATCAGGCCAGTACTATTTCCCTATTAAACCAGGCTACATTTTCAATCACCGGTTCGAGGCACTGGCAAAACTTGGCTGGGGTGGTTGCTCCACGGTCTGGCTAGTAAGAGACCTCCACCGGTGAGTTAAATCTCTAACCGCTATATTGAAGTTATATTGACCAGAATTACCAGACGAAACTGGCAGAGCGAGCGCTACTTAGCATTGAAGGTCGGCAATAGTGACTTCAAAGATGCAGAACAAGCTGCGCATGAGTTCAATATTGAACGTCATATTGGCAGCATGAGTGACCGCCATAATGGCCGCAATTACCTTCGAACTTTTGTCGAGCAGTTTGAGGAAAATGGCCCCAATGGGATGCATATGTGTTTAGCATACGAACCCATGAGAGAGCCTCTATGGCTATTCCAATCTCGCCTCCGGAATAAGAGATTTCACCTCGGCCTTTTAAAGGGTTATATAAAACTTCTTCTGAAGGGACTAGACTACCTACATACAGAATGCAATGTTATCCACACAGGTCAGTATCTGTAATTGACACAACAGAAGGCAACGAATTGCTAATGTTATTTATAGACTTGAAGGTTGAAAACATTCTCGTTAGTTTTGAAGAGCCATCAGTGCTCGAAGACTTTGCACAATTGCAAGCACAGAACCCTATGCCCCGTAAATCAAATAATGGGAATACCGTCTACCTCTCACATAATGACTTCGGGCCAGTGAGATCATATTATATCTTGCCCAAAATAACGGATTTTGGCCTGTCTCACCACCAAAAAGACCCATCGTTGTTGAACAGACACCCAATTCAGCCCGACCAGTACCGGGCTCCTGAAGTTATTCTAGGTGCTGGTTGGACATACAGCGCGGATATTTGGAACCTTGGGCTGCTGGTAGTTACCTCTTTTTTCTATCATCTATCAGAGAATACTTGACTAATACCGGATACTAGATGTGGAATATGCTCGAGTCTCGGGATCTTTTTACTTCGCCGCTGGATGATCAGGGAAATTATCATCCCGAAGCTCACCTGGCAGAGATGATTGCCCTTCTGGGCCCACCTCCCAAGGCGATGATAGAGCGCGAGAGAGATGGTATGGAGTGGAGGTGGGCACCACCTGCTCAGAATGCCGCGGGAAAGATGTGTAACTGCTTCTGAATGGTATGGTGGTCCATTCTTTGACGAGAACGGTAAATCAGCCTATTCTATTCATCGTAATGCGGCCAAATTTCTAACTAGTGGATGTCAGGGGAGTTTCGGAACAAAGAGGTCATACCTTCCGGAATCAACCTAGATGATACGGTTACCTGTCTTGAGGGAGAGCAAAAAGTTCAGTTTTTGAAATTTGCAAGGAAAATGCTACAGTGGCCACCTGAGGACAGGAAGACCGCAAAGGAGCTCGTTGAAGATCCGTGGCTTAGTGACAAGTCGATCAACAGAGGAGGTATCTGAGATATCGCCTGTGCCATTTTATTCCGATAACTAAAGAGAGCAGGTTCTCCATCTTAATTTTCTATAACAGTTTTCTCTACTCCGTACTGTACTTGTGAATGTGAAATTCCCAATTGGCGATTAATAAGTAGTTGGTTTCGGATAGAAGAAGAATAAATATAGAAATGTATTGTAACTGGTAACTAAGTAATGTAAGTGTGTAAGAGAGTACCTGTATAAGCAACGAATCGAGATGTTAGATGTGCAATGTAGCAGGAAGTAGGGAGTAAAAAGGTCCAATATGCTCATTGGTGGGAGTTGTTTAGAGTTAATTATATAATCCACTGACTAACAATTTAGCGCTTCGGAGATAGCGAACTTCAAAGCGCCGAACTTGCGATAAACAAAAACTGCAACTCCGAAAGAGAACCACAGCAGATGCAAAGTTAGTCGGGGCACCCCATCCACGACCGACATATACGTTTAGTCTCTTCTTTTGCTTCCTAAAATCTAGTTTGTTATATATCATATGTTCTCTCTCTCCCTACCATTTCATGTTTCCACACCCCGCTAGGTTGGATCGGGAATTCGCTCGTTGTCCGCTTGTTTGTTCTCGTCCATATATTTGCCAGAGATAGATAGTCTAGCTGAGATATCTATCTCACTACGAATGGCATCCACCCGGCCGGTCCGTATGCTCAAGCTCAAGCTTAATCTACGGCCCGCCTACCAACCGACAGTTTCAGCGGTACCTTGGAGAGCGGAAAATTCTTCGTCTTTCTCCGTCGGTTCCCCGCTTATTGGTGGTTCGTGCCTCGGCACGTTCACGGGGCTACGCTACGGAAGATTTTTGACATATAGCCGCTACATCACGCACAACCAGTCACAGCCGCAGTTATTTGGCGCAGAAAGAAGGATCAACATGGGCGACAATAATAGGGACGCTTCCGCGAGACGACTGCGGGCGCTAACAGAACACATATCTCCTGGCCAACAGCATCAGAGCCGGGAGTATAGCCAGACCGTCACCGGCACTTCTTCCAAGGACTCCGGTATTAATTTCTCCGCGTTATCGAAGCTTCTGCCGCACGATGGGCCTGAGGGAGAAGCGGTATGGTACATTGTTGTGGCCGCAGCACTGATGGCGTTTCATCAGGAATCGGCAGTGGGTGCGCTGTGGGAACATATCGTGTCTACTCGGGGGTCATCAACTGAAGAGGAGAAAGCACTGATTGCACGACGGATAAGGGAGAGTTGCTTGAAGGCTAGCGTGCTAGTCGGGTTTCCACGGGTAAAAAAACAAAACAAAAATTCAAAGCCCCCAGCCAATCCCAAGACAGAAGTGACATTATGTTCATGCATCGAACTACAGAAACTAACATGCATGCGGTTCATATCAATATTTTAGGGAATCAACGTTCTCTCATCACTGCATGAGTCCCTGGCGCGGCACACACCCTCGACCCACCGACTTCTCTCCGAGGACAGCTCATTGCGAAGTCCGGTCGATGGGAAAACGAAGCTGGAGCGGGGGACTGCGTTTTTCTCCCGCCTTTACGCCGGTCACACCAGCAAGATACTAGACAACATGTCTCGCAGCTCGGGCGGGGACCTGAGCTACTATGCCCTTGCTAGTGTGTACGGGGAGCTCATGGCCGAGACTCGAGTTGTCAATGCGATGGAGACGGTGCTGATGGAGTTTGTCTGCTGTCTAGCAGACGACGTCGCACCGCAGGCCAAGGGGTGCGTCTTATACCCATTTTTTTTTTAAACATGTATTTTTTTTCTCCCCTAGCGTAGTACTAACCAAGGCAGACACTTCTTTGGCAGCCGGAACATGGGAGCATCCGGTGCACAGATCAAGGGAGCCGTGAGCATCGTACAAGAGCTGGCAAGGCAGGCTGGCCTGGAGATGCCCGGAACGGGGGAGGAATACGCCTTTCTGGCAAAAGCTGACTTGTGGTGAGGTGAGCCAGACGCTGGTTCTCCAACCCCTCGCTTACAGATGTATATACATATGCATGTTTTAAGTGGATAAGAAATTAGTACTTGGCTTTAATCTCTTATGTATATGGTTCGAGGGACGTCGCGTGCCTCAGCTCGAGATGCGGATGGCTACAGCCGTCCGTGAGACTCCACTGTCCCACCTTTCGAGTAATTTTCACTTCGTAAGTTATATGCTTCCTCCCGGGGCCAATAATGCTGATAGACGCCTCGCCCAGGACACCATCCGGAGTGACACCATCCTTGCTGTCCGAGTCTGCCCTCGTCCTTCCCATAATCTACTCCCTCTTGTGAACTTCTAGCTGTCCCTCTTCGGCAACTCGACATGCGACCTCCTTCCGCATCCCCACTAGCGCCTTGGCATCCACATACCAAGCATCTTAGTCATCCCACCTTAACTTTATATTCCTTGGCATCACGTGACCCACGTGCGACCCTCCTCGACGCTCACTGGCCAGAACGAACCAACGACTTCCCAAACCCAGCAAAAACCCAGCAAAGAAAATGGCAATTTCGCTCTCTCGCCATCGCCGCCCGCGAGTGGGTTTGGCTGACTCTTTTTTTCTTTTGCCTTTTCCTTTTCCCTTTCGGGCCTCCCAGGGTTTGCCCTGGGGTGGCCACCGCCTTGGCCCAAACAGTCGCCAAACAGAGAATTTTCTCGTCCCCCGGCAAGAAAGGGAAGACCCCAAGAACCGTGGGACCTCCGGCCGAGATACAAAAAGTCGACCGCAGTCCTCCTTTCCTTCTGCTCCTTTCCTCTCCTCCTGCTCGTCGACGCTGCTCTCTGTTCGAACGTTTCGTCCGCCCTGGACCAGTTCACGACGCGAAGTCCGCCTTGCCGCCGCCACTACTCCGAGCAGTGCCCCAGCTGGCCTGCGAGCCTCCAGGCAACCCCCCCGGTAAGCCCGTCGCATCCTGTCTCTGCCTTGTCGCCCGCGGATCCGATACCACCAGTCAGCGCTGTCAGCCTTCCCTCGTGCGCTCTGCCCTGTCAACCCCCAGCAGCCGCTTATAAGAAAGAAGCGCTGCCCAGACGGGACGACTCCCTTGGCTCGCTTCTTCTCGTCCTTTACACCCTCTCACGGCTGCTGAAACAGCTCTATCAAGCATCGACAAGCATCGACAAGCTTCGTCCAAGAGCTGCTCTCCCTTGTTTCTTTCATGCGCTGGGTGCTGATATCCACTCCTTAGGCGAACGGCGTTATAGCGACACGCGATCGATATCCTAAAGAGCAGTTATCCCGATCATTATACTCTATATTCTGTACCTAGATGGCCGATTTTGGTCCCAGGGCCCCCCATGGGCCTGACATGACGGGCACCCACGACCCGCTGGTCGACATGCGGCTCCATGAGAAAGAGGCTTTTGACGCCTTTATCCGCCCAGACGACTCGTACACGCCGGAGGGTGTCTACTGGGCGGATCTGCCGCTCATGAAGAAGATCCAGTTCGTCACCTCGGTCGACATGGAGGAGTCCAAGAAGGAGGCCTCTTCGTTTTGGGAGATGTTCAAGAACGATCCTCTGGCACCCATTGGTTTCTACTTCAAAAACATGGTCTTGCCTGGTGCTGGTCTCGGTTTGGAAGGGTGAGTTTGCTCTTTTTTTTTTTTTTTTTTTTTTTTCTTTTTTTTTCTTGATCTTGGGAAAATGGCTTTGATCTAACGGGTGGTAGATATGTGCTTTTTTCAATTGGAAATATTAAGCCTCTATTTCAAAAAGCATTCCCAGACTGCTGGAAACATGAAAAGACTTGCGATCCCACCTGGCTTGCCGCTGTTGAATACCTAGAAATCTGCGGTATCATCGTTGGTCAGATATTGGTTGGTGTTCTCGGTGACTGGTAAGCTTACCTTCTCACACCACAACAAATATACAAAAAGCCAGAAACTAACAGCGACAAGGATTGGTCGTCGTTGGGGTCTGATTCAAGATGCAGTCATCATGTTGCTCGGTCTCATCATGCTTACTGCTGCCTGGGGTGTCACCCAGAACGGCTGGGTTATCTGCTACGTTTGGTCTCTCTTCTTCTATGGCATTGGTGTCGGCGGTGAATACCCCATGACAGCCACCTCTGGAATGGAGAACGCTGTCGGATCAGGCAAAATCTCTACCAAGGAAGATCGTCTTCACCGTGGTCGCAAGGTTACATCTGCATTCTTGATGCAGGGATGGGGCCAGTTCTTCAACCAGGCCCTCCTCATTCTTCTCCTGCTCGTTTTCCACCATGGCAGTGGAAACCCGCCATACTCGACCCTCTCTGCTCAGTGGACCTACCGTGTCTCCTTTGCCATCCCTGCAGTTGGAACCCTCTGGCTCGTCTACTACAGATACTACAAAATGCGCGCTGCAAGCAAACAGCTGGCAATCGCAAAGGCCAAGTCCCGCGTCACCGGCTACGACACAGAGTCCCTGCGCCTCACTTTCAAGCACTTCGGTTTCCGTCTCCTTGCTACCGCAGGTACATGGTTCGCCAACGATGTCTTCTTCTACGGCAACAAGCTCTTTCAGTCCGAGTTCATCAGTGTTATCTCCCCACACACCACTTCCGTCATGCCCGGATGGCTGTACAACTTGCTTAACGTTGGAGTCTCCCTCTGCGGATACTATCTTGCTTCTTTTCTGATCGACAACAAGCTCTATGGCCGCAAGTGGATGCAGATCATTGGATTCTTGATGGATTTCGTCTTCTTCATCATCCCTGCCTTCCACTTCGAATACTATACCACTCCGGAGCACATCAAGGAGTTCCAGGCCATGTATTTCCTCTCGTCCTTCTTCAACCAATTCGGCCCCAACTCCGTCACCTTCCTTGTAGCCGCTGAGGTCTTCCCCACTCCTATCCGTGCCACCGCCCACGGTTTCGCAGCTGCTATTGGAAAGCTTGGTGCTCTTACCGCAGCCGTTATGTACAACTACATCAGCACAACGCAGAAATTCCACGTTGTCCCCTGGTTCGGTCTCGCCGGTGTCATCCTCACCTACCTCTTCCTCCCCGACACCACCGGCCTCGACCTCAAGGAGCAAGAACGACGATGGTTCTACATCCGCCAGGGTAGAGAATCTGAGTACCACGGTGCTGCTGTCCACCCTAAGCATCTCTCTGTCTACGAGCGGTGGACGGGTGTAGGCAAGTACTACGACCCCGAAGCCGACTATAAGCAGAAAGTCGCTGAGATGCGAGAAGAGTGGGCTGCTGCTCAGGCACGCAAGGCTGATGAGAAGGGCGGCTTTGGTGATGATGATCACCACGACTACGAGCCAGTTCACCATGACGTACACAAGTACTTCGAGCGCACAAGTCCGATGATTCTGGGACGGGAAAAGAACGTTCCGATGAACGAGCAGCTTCCTCCAGCCCACGACAACAGCAGTGACGACGTTGTTGAGCAACACCCTCATCAAGATTAAAAAGGACATGTCTCTTATACATCTACCAAGGGCATATGGATGAATACACCATTACCCTCTTTCTCACATCTATTATGTTTAATCTGTCGTCATCGATGTTACGCATGTCCTGTCATACTTCTTGGCTCTATTCTTTTACGTTGCCCTAGATACCTCTTCTAAATGCCCTTTCTTATACAACATCTGCCCCTGCTTGCACCCAGCTATGACTATTTCATCATTTGAGGAGCGATTTAATACTGTACATATCTCTTAGCATCATACATCTTAGTTCTGATACTGGCATCCCGCGTGGGGCTCAAAAGTCTATCTGCCTTTAACTTTAAGGTTAGCTTCGATCACCGAAGCTTATAGTTTGTTGACTTGTATGACCATTGGCGAGGGATGAGAAAATAACAAAGTTCCTATTGACACAGCCCTTGTTCTAGTTAACTTGTCATCTTCATCTCCTAGCCCAGTATGCTTTAAGAAAGTTACCATTCACCCGAAGCACACATACCCCATGCCTGATTCAGTCGTGCTAACGTCTCAAATGCCCCAGAGGATTGGCTCAAGGTGTATGAATCTGGCCACCTGATCCTCATAGAGACAGAATGTGACGAAATTTGTAAATACTGTTCAGCTATATAGCGTCAACCTACTAGTATTAGTGTTCACTCCGGCCCGTGTCAAAGCCGAAGAGTAGTTTAGTTACCGAAGCCCTAATTAATTAGTTGCTTGCTCCCTGACGCTGACATATCCGCCCTCAAGAAAATCTATATCTGGCATGTTGACAATGTTTTGGTCAAGTGCAAATTGCCATTCTTCAGCCTTTTCCAATTCAAACTTCTTGATGGCAAATGTCTCTTATCCAATTGAGTTGGCCCTTTCGCTCTTTAGCTGATATAACCCTTCATGTCGGGCCATCCCACTAATCACCGTTGCTGACTGCGTTCATTGCCCTTCTATTAGCAGAAGAATGATACCATTGCGTCATGGTCCGGTGCTGCTGTGCCATCCCCCGTCTCATGGCTCAATTAGCATGCTAGATGAAGGATTTTATTCCCTTCATCTTCTTCCTCCGCCTCCTTATTGCTGAAGATTTAACATAAGGAGAATTCAATACCCAACAAATCTATTCATGTTAATTGATCCCTCTTCAGGTAGTTACAATGAAGATAAAGGCATTCTCCGGGTTTGTATCCCTCTGTTTCCTTCCCCTGGTTGTTTCGCAATCTACTTCGGTGCAAAGTAGACCACCGAGTTCTAGCACTCGTCTAGCGAGCTCCAGCTCCCAGCCTAGCTCTAGTCCTTCCAATACTCCTTCCAATACTCCTTCCAATGGGAGCGGAGGAGAAGGAGGAGGAAGTGCCAGTGAAAGCACAACTGGCAGCACGGGCAGTGCTGGAGGTCCATCGCTCACTTATGCAAGTGACATCGTGGTCCCTGCAACGCCACCAGTGCGCAGCGTTTCATTCGAAAGCCATGGACCTTTTACGGGCTCTGCAAGTGTTACCGGAGCACTTACGGCCTCTAAAGTACTTGGAACTGCGCTGTCTGGTCAGCCTGCGCCAACGAATGCGACGAGTTATCCATCTGATGGTGAGCTGCATGGTGCACAGCCAGCACCATACTTTCCTGCCGGCGGGTTGGGGACCAACGGGACCGCACCGGTTTATAACGTGCGAAGCGATTACGACTATCAATCAATTGTACGTTCCATGCATTTTTTCGGCATTTAATGCAAGGCTGACTCCCTCTCTAGGCCCTAGCTCTGCATTTGGAATGGATGGTATACGACCTCTTCCAAATCGGCGCTTCCCAGTTCAAACCCAAGGACTTCCAGGGCCTGGGTTTATCCCAGTCGGATTATAATTCTATTGCTCTCATGGCAAACCTATCTCAAGGCCATGTCACGCTCCTTAGCAACATTCTCGGCGAATCGGCTCCTGGACCATGCACTCATAACTTTCCCTTTAAAACAGCGTACGAGTTCCTTGACTTTAGTCAAAAGGTGACAGCTGTCGCAGAGTCAACGGTGTACAGCTTCCTCCCACACCTAGACTCTCGGGAAACAGCAATGTTAGTCCTACAGCTTGTTGCGACTACTGCACGCCAGCACATGCTATTCCGCCAGTTCGAGGCCCTGCAGCCCATGCCTGTATGGTTTGAGACAGGTATTCCCCAGTCATGGGGTTGGACCTTAGTGGCACCATTCATCAGCTCGTGTCCCGATGATGCAAGACTTGTATGGAGGAACTTTCCAGCCTTGCAAATTATTGACGGGCCAAACGCAGCCAGAAAGGGGGGTTCGGGCAAGAATGAAACCGTGGGCGGCGGACTTGGGGTAGTAAATTCTACTGCCATTCCATTGGATAGATCGTGTTTGGGCTCTTCGTCTAGCAATAGCACTAGCTCTGGCAGGACTGGAAAGGCGCCTCGTGGCCGCTATGACCGTCAGTACGAGCATGTTGCAGCCGCTAATACTACCGGCAGCGGCGGGGCACAGCCATCCGGAACTGGCGAGAGTGGAAGCAGTGGTGGCAGCAGTGATGGTGGCCTCAGCACAGAATGCAAGCCAGGGATTACATCCAACCGGACTAAACCGCTGAGTGAACCCGGCCGCAAGATACTCCTTCAATGGGAATCAGCCGGCCGGCCCGTCGGCCCGAATAATAGCTACATCACCAACACCCAGGCAAAGGAACCTGCATTTGTAGCGTGGATAACTCAGTTGAATGTTACCTATACCCCGCTGGAAGTTATGAATAATGGAAATGATGGAGGTAATGGAGGCGGTCCAGGCGGTGGTAACACCACGAGCTCCTCGACTACACTTGAGCCTTCCGTGAGTGCCGTCGATAGTTCGTCAATCAGGACAGACACAATGGCCGCAGCAAAGCCTACTGGTAACGGAGGCTCCTCTAATAGCACCGGCTCACCAGGCAGTGGTAGCGGAGGTGGAGGTTCTTCTTCAAACGGGACCAGCTCCGCTGGCAAGCTGTTCACCGGTACAACGGTGCAGCCGGATTTTGCGACTTTTGAAGGAGATCCAGCAGTGAATGGAACGGTCTTCATTGCAATTACGGATGAGGATTTGTTCCTAACTCCTTTCAATTTGAGTCTGATAGATTCACATGTTGTTGCTGGTCCAGCCGTTTACCAGGCTGGCTAAAATTCAGAAACTCAATTGTTTGAACGGCGTTGGTTAGTAGGCAACACGGAGTTGGACTTGCTCGGATTGATACCCCTGATAATGGAAAGTTGTGATGTATCAAAGCAATATTTGTGTATCGGAAGATATTAATCTAGCTTATGAGTTTTGACTATCTTCGGGGGTCCAAATACTCATCCCTTGGTAGGCTTAGGCTTACGCACCATGATGGTGAGCCTTGCCCAATCACCCTGGCCTCCTTCTCCTAGACCTCTACCAGTATACTTGCTGGCATCAAAATGTAGTTTTGCTGATTGTTTTTCAGTTGCCGGAATAACCTCAAATCCACGTCGTTCATAAACAGGGTATCCCCTCTGTGACGCTTCCAGATATGTCTCTGCGCCATGTTTATCGGCAAGATCGCAGCCCCAGTTTACCAGCAACGTTCCAGCACCCCGTCGTTCATGTGCAGGGTCAGTGGCCAGCAATGCAAGAACTAGACCAGTCAGAAAGCAAACCTAATTGCAAGAAGAGTAACACATACCACAATTCTCCCTCCCTTCTTCACCGAAGAATAGCTTTCTATTATCAAAGAGCTTGCCCATGCAATATCTATATCCCTCGACATTCGCTCCCTCAGGAACAAACATATCTTCGCCCGTTTTCATCTGCTCCCTCCATCTCTGCAGCGCCTGGGGGCCGCCAACATAGACATTCCACTTCGCAAAGGCCAGAATCTCTCCCGTCTCATCGTCGACACATTTAAGGAGGTGGAACCCGGGGTCATGTTCCATCTGATAAACCAGTCGCTTTGTCTGAAGTTCTCGTCGTATGGGCTCGGGATATTTTTCATCATGGTCCTGGAAACCACCCGGGTTGTTAATTTCTCCACAAGCACGGAAAAAGCCACTTTGCCTGAGCGCTGTCGATTGAATGTCGAGGATTCGAGGGATGTCCTCGGCAGTTGCGGGGTGAACAGAGAGAGTCATTCTGAGATATCTTTGTCGCTGCTCCGCTGAGTTCTTCCTCCCACTTGCTCAAAGCCGCAGTGCAATTGGATTTTATAAGAATATGATAGGCTGGGCTTATTCGATACAGAGATCGTTTTGTATCATTAACGGAGTGAAAATGACTTGGGGTTGTCATCGGTATTTGTATAGGCGCCGAGATGAGAAAATGGATACGAGATCCACCGGCTAAACTAGACAACTGCCACAACTAGATCTACCCCAATTGACTCACTCGAGTCAGTGAAAGGCGTCTTCGACAAGTCTTTGACGAGTTTCATCAGGACCAAGCGGAGTTCGTTCCCCTATTCCGCTGGTCTTTGGGTTCGGATGGCCCGTGTGTAGAGTGCTGTGCGACAATGCGAATGCGAATGCGATATCCGACATGTTACGTGTGCCAATTTGCTGCCTAGTTTACTCATCAGAATTGCCGACATCGACAGGCAAGTCGGCACCATTCTTCACAACTGGTTGTTGTGGCAGTCAGGCCTCGTGTTGTATTTCAGATGCAGAATTCCGGTTGTACGGTTAGAAGACAGGTATTCGACGATTACCGCGAATAATTGAGGGATGTTACCCTCATCGCTGGCGTTTCCTTCTGAATCGGAACCGAAGCCCGTCATCGCTCTCCTCATCATCCCTTGACCTCTTCTGTGGCCTTGAGCGTGCGGCAGGGGCTGCGGGTTGAGGAAACTCTAAAGAAGTGACCGTTGATTCTATATTGTTTGATAAGGCGGGACTCCTCTGGCGTTCGGGAGGTGTAGAGCTTGCCCCCCAGTAATCGTCTCCAATGCCAAAGTCTTTCTTTTTAGCTTCTTCCAGTGGAACAATAATCGGTCGGCGGCGGTGGGCTACTTCAGTGTTGCCTTTTCTTCGGAATTTCTTGAAGTTTTGGCGGCCATTCCACCTCTCATCCCATCGGCTCTCATCAGAAAGGGTGTTGCAATGTGGCTGTCTGGGTTTGACATCCATTTCCTCCACGGTGACGAGTTTCTGGATCTGTACAAGGTCCATGCCTTCAACTATCGCCTGGAATGAGATTGCATCCTCTTTTCGACGAGCTGTTGCGGCTTCGTCGACTTCTTCACGCCGCTGCCGGGCAGCTTCTTTCAGATCAAGCTTCGGCTTCTTGGCCTTTTGTAGTTGCGGTGCTACCTGTTTTGTCTCCAGCGGCCTTTTGATTCCTCGTTGCTTCATCGCAGCGGTTCCTGGTAAAAGGTTTATTACGGTGTCATCTCCTTCCCCTTCAGATGGGACACTGGAGGGGACCCTTTCATGTAACGAGTCTGGGATAATATTCTAGTCAAACATAAGCATAGTTCAAACACCTTTTTCTAGAGGCAAACCTACTGGTGCATCTCCTTCTCCCTCTCCATCCTCCTCTAGCTGGTAAACGGGAATTGACTCCATATCAAACCCATCATCAAAATTCTTGAACTTTGGAACATAACCTTTCAATTTATTCCGTTTGAGCACTCGCGCTTCGTTTTGGCTATGCTCAACAAGCACAGTATCACTTGGACCAGACGACATATCTTGGATTTGATCCGGATCCGTATTTGGAACTGTGGCAGGCGGAGTAGATTGTACGTCACCCGGCTTCTCATATCGTCGGTATAGCTGCGATGCATTGTTCCTTAGAATTGCATCTAAGAAATCACTGGCTTCCACGGGTTGTTGACCTGTCAACTCGGCCACTTTATTTTCAAGGGCAATAGACCACTCTTCGTGACCCTTGATGGAGAACTGCATAAATAATACTCCTCCAGTGCCATCTTGCTCGCAGGCGAGTCCCTTAACACCAGCAGCTTTATTTAAGAAGTCCACAACATCCTCAGCCTTTGTCTTTTCGGGTTCAACGTCATAAAACAATGCTTTTCCATGGCCATTTGATATAGGGCCCTGGAGGTCCTCAAATCGCTTTTTGTCACTAAAGACAAAAGTATAGCCTTCAAATACGTTGATTCGATCTAAATTCGGTTTATATGCGCTGTCGGGTAATTCGGTAGGCGCATTTCCGCGGGGAGGGAGGTCTTCAGTAGGGTCCGGCCATGCATTATCAAAATCTTCTTCGAGAGGGGAAAGAGATTCCTCACGTTCAACATTTTTGGGGGATGCAGCATATCTTATGCGTTCAATAAAAGAGTCTTGGACCAGGTAGCACCCGTTTATGAGAGCCTGGAGACCCTTGGCAGTGTTGCGTTTGCTTTGAACCACATGGGTAGTCTTTCCAACTATATATGGGATAACCGTCTTTATATCTAGCTCCTCCAGTTGCGAACGAGCGTGTGCCAGTGGATCTTTCGCTTTTAACTGCTTTGTTGGAAACGAGAAACTCAGGACAATGGGACACCACTTTACTCTGCAGTTCAGTTAGAAGGGTGTTATCATGACTTTTTTTACTGAGGGAGTTCTCGCCGTACCGGAGAACGGAAGGATACCGCCCAAGAGATAGTTTATATTCATCTCTGCTGCCAAGTTCTTTGCTCTCTCCAGTTATAAGCGTTCCATCGAGAGTGGTTCCCCACCTAGAGCCTGCATCACTGATGATCAACTTCGATCTTGTGTGTATATGTGACTGAAACCGAAACAAAAGTTAGCTTTGAAAATGTGATATCTTTGTACATTTCAAAACAAACCCCATCTCCCGGTTTCACTTTTCCGACTTCAATTATAAGGTGCTTCCGTGATATCGTACGATTATCAATTGTATGTGTTACTGGCAGTGAAACAGTAAATTAGCACAACAGTGGGCGAAAGAAATTCAGATATGACAAGAACTCACTGCCGTCTTGTTGAACCCGACCAAACAAGTATTTTTTACCTGGTTTCAGCCATATCCGTTTGCCTAACAGCCGTCATAAGTTAGCCATGTGCAATGGACATCGAAGAAACCCACCCGAAGAGGTGCCAGTCAAACCTTGTAGGAAATCTCCGTCGGACGACAGTATCCACATAACTTTGCCTCGTGGAAGCTCAGTGACAATTATCGATGAATAATTTCGATCGAGAAGATCTCGGAGCAGTTCTAAACGGTCAAATGGCTTCTTATCTATCAAATTGCAGCTTTCGCATTTGATCTATCAGAACGCGTGACAAACGCGATATCACGTGTTGATATATGGATTAAAGTTATTCCTTTGATGATATAAGCTAGCTGTTGATTAATAATCAACCGGAAATTGAGGCTGAACTTTAAAGAGCGACGTCTTCTCGTATCTCTCACCATCTTTCCCGCTCTCTTGCCAGTCAAGGAGTTGGAAGTCGGCGTGCATAGTGCGGCATGGGCAGTGCAACTTTGGAATAATGTTCTGGAAGTGGCAGAAGCTAGTTACAGCAATGGAAAAATGTCCACAAATTCGGAACCGAAAGTCAAAGGGGGAATACAGACGAATGGTGAAGATAAGGCAACGGAGGGTAGCGAGCACGATGACACCCTGAAATACCAGCTGCTTGGGCCGTCTCTGACCAAGGCAGGCCAAGATAAGGTAGACCAGCAAAAAGTACGTGCAATATACCCCCGAACGAGTATTTATCATTGAACGAAGTGTTCAATACTTATTATCCTACGTTAGGTATCGGAGGTTATATACAACGCCTCGAAGGGATCGAAATTCTTCAACCACGAAAGGGCTCGAGATCAATTATTAACAGAAAAGATTCAAAAGATATTGGCACACAAGGAAAAACTGGAGAAACAAGACCTGTCCCACAACATCCGCCTGGCCGATGAATATATTGCGGACCTTGAATTACGGCGTGATTTGTCGCAGTCCATCGTGCATATTGATTGCGATGCTTTCTTTGCTGCTGTTGAAGAGCTAGACAGGCCCGAGTTGCGGGACGTACCTATGGCTGTCGGTAAAGGCGTCTTGACGACCTGCAACTACCATGCTAGAAAGTTTGGGTGTCGGAGTGGCATGGCCAGCTTCGTGGCCAAGAAGCTGTGCCCCGAGTTGATCTGCATACCCCAGAATTACGAGAAATACACCGCAAAGGCCCGAGAGATTCGAGCAATTTTGGCTAACTACGACCCGGAATTTGAGAGCGCTAGTGTTGATGAAGCGTATCTTAATATTACCCAATATTGTGCAGCTAATAATGTTGACCCTCAGGCGGCTGTACAGCAGTTACGTGGTGAAGTTTTCGCCCAAACAGGAGTAACGGTCTCCGCCGGGATTGCAGCCAATGCCAAAATCGCAAAGATATCATCCAATTGGAATAAACCGAATGGTCAATTCTACGTACCGAACGAGCGGGCTGCAATCATGGAATTTATGACCAAGATTCCAGTTCGCAAAGTAAACGGTGTTGGTCGAGTATTCGAGCGTGAACTCGGTGCAATCGGGGTAACAACGTGTGGTGACATTTATCAGTATCGTGGTATGCTGAGTCAACTCTTCGGCCAAAAGGCATTTTGTTTCCTGATGCAGTGCTATTTGGGTCTCGGAAGAACCCGAATCCAACCCGCAGGCACATTCCCGAGGAAAAGCGTTGGAACAGAACACACCTTCGCAGATTTGAGCGATTTCCACCAACTGCAGGAGAAACTGAGGTGGACGGCGTCTGCGCTTGAGAAAGACTTACGAGCCGCAGGAACAAAAGGCCGTACTCTGGTTTTGAAAGTAAAGCTTCACACATTTGAAGTGCTCTCGCGGCAGACCGTGGCTCCCAAACCGCTCCTGCTGGCTGATGATCTCTACAAATATTCACTACCGTTGCTGACGAAATTGCACAAGGAACGGCCGCAAATGAAAATCCGTCTAATGGGCCTTCGCTGTGCAAATCTGGTCAGCACTAAGAAGGGCACGCTCAACTTCTTTAACAGGAGTGATACTGGACAGACAGTAGCCTCTAAATCAGAGGCTAGCAACGAAGCCATCTCATCAACGGAGGAGGAATTCGAAGCTGCAGCCTCCCAGGAGCGGATGGATGATATGGAGTGCCTGGAAAATCTCAGCCAAGAACTGGAATCAAGTCACAAAACACAGCAAGCCGCCCAAGAGGAGCAGAAGACGGTCAAGCTGGATAAATGGCCCTGTCCGATATGCTCTATCCCACAGCCTCCCGACCATGCACAATTCAACCAGCATGTTGACTATTGCCTCTCACGGGAGACCATCAAGGAAGCCGTTCAGGGCACACTGGGGCCCGAGGACAGCCCGTCCCTGCAGGTAAACAAAAGGAAGGCTGCCCTTGAGCCCGGCGCTCGCAAACGCCCGTTTTTCAACTAGTATTTAATTGCACTTACTAGCAGTGCCCCGCCGTGGCCCCGGAAGAAGTAAATAACAATAATAACAACGGATCAGTCCACCAGGCAGCCCTGATGTAATTTATATATTTGGATCCCAACCGACAAGTAGATAACACTGATTTTTGTAACCAAAGAAACGATGATGCAGAATATATTTGGGTGGGCCTCGGCGCTAGATCCGTTTAGCCTTCGTTATGGCTCAATGACGAAAAAACAACGGGGAGATTTCTTTGGCCCGCGACCAAAAGGGCGTCTGACCGCAAACAACGACGCCGGCACCAACGACAACAACAATAACAACAACCACCAACGCCGTCGAGGAGCCGCCCTGTCGGTGACTGACGAGTCCAAGGACCAACTGGAGCGCGCGGCTAGGATATCTCCCCGTTCTTTTGGGTGTAGCCATTATGAATGTCGCCCCGTTTTGCCCTTCGATATGCCCAACCTGCACGCTTTGTTTATCTCCCCGTTGATCACGATGTCTCTCCCAGATAAACAAAACAACAGCATGGCAAGCAAACCGTTTGTCCCGCAGGCCGGCTCCGGCTACAGGAATTCCAAGGCCCCGTTGACGCCAAAACTTGCCGGCTTCAATTCTCACCTACCTCGAAAACTCGCCCATTTTGACTCTCCGAGCCCGAATCACACTCGCACCCCTGAAGCCTCGACGCCCAAACCATCCGCCATCCATAACACGAACATAACACCAAGATCGGGTCAGAGAAAGGCGAGAAAGGATGGGAATCCGTCTCCGGCTGCAACCACCCCTCCTCCGGGCCATCTGGCTCCCCGTCTGGCAAGCCAAAAGAGCTCAAGGGGTAGCAACCCTAACGAGGCATCGCCCACTCCCCAAGAGCAACACGCCGGTGCGAACCTAAGAGTCTCGAGAGCAAAGAGCATGAGCAATGAGCCTTATGGACATCTACCAAACAACCGGCCAGCATCGTCGTGTGGTAGCTCTGTCGGGACTCCGATGTTCTTCCACGCAGATGATGCCCGCTCACCGACATCTTCAGCATACGACACAGAATCAAAACCACAACCTCAATCGAATCCCCATCTAGCCCCAAAGTCTTTTATCTACGCAGATGGCCGTACCGAAGACTCTACAAATGCTGCCGAACCCTCCTATAAGCAACAGCCACCAGTCAAGAAGCCGGTGCTGGCACAGTCTACCCCTATAAAATCTCCAGTGTCTCCTCGACTTCAGGAAACGTCCCCTTCAGGGCCACAAGTTAAGCAATTCACGGGCAATGCAACCGAACAGCACGTATTCAGCCCGAAAATCACGCCGGCACAAGAAAAAACATTTCCTCAGATACCCAGTCGTAATGACCAGACGCCCGAGAACCCTGGCAGGTTCGGCCATATCAAATCCACTAGCTGCGACTCGACACATACTGCGGGTCGAAAGCACTCATTTTTGGCTAGCCCTCTAATACACCGTCCTACACTCTCGCAGGATAGTACATCGCAGTCAGCGAGTGATTTGATAGACCCATATCCGAAAACTTCACATAATCGATCACCTTCCTCGGGGGAAATATCACATAATCTTCTTCCACGAGCCCCGAGCCCGTCCAAAGATGACGGGAACGTACTACAGAGAATGAACGAGCTAGCTGCCAATGCCAGGCGAGAAAGAAAAGTATTGGACCTTGAAATCAGTAACTCGTCTCTATTAGCTATAAACCGTGCTCTGGAACGAGAAATGCGGAAACAGAACGCTGAACTCCGTCGTTTCCGTCGCCTAAGCCGCTCCGGTCGGCTGTCGATGACATCCGCTCGCCGTTCTGTTTCAGGGGGAGGGCTTTCGGTACTCAGCGAAGCAGATGGAGACGATACGGATAGCTATTCCTATTCCCGTATGTCACCTGGCTGCTCAGCTGATGAGCTAACAGATGACGAGGTTGACCCATCAAGCTCAGAGGAAGACAACATGAGCTCAGGCCGTGCAGCAGAACATGACGAGAAACACCGAGCTAAAGATGAAAGCAGACTACTTCTCGACCTAAAACGACATCAACAATTACTTATTGACAGCCAGAAGATGAATCAAAGCATCAAGCGCTGCGTCGGATGGACAGAGAATCTCATATCAGAAGCCAAGAAAGCCTTAGAATATAGCGTCCATGTGAGCGACGTTGAGGTTGGTGGTCGTGTTCTTGGCCCGGATGACTTTGATGGCGATTATTTCAAGAATACCCGAGGTTTACTGAGTCCCTCGATGGATATATCTTGCTCGGATATACCGTCGTTCGAAGGGCATGAGGCCATCGAATCACCTCCCTCTATACCCAATAGAGATCCAACCAATCTACCATCGTCCACTGGAGAGCGATAACACCACCACCACCCGATATCTTGGTTCATGATCAGTTGTTAACCCTTACTCTTTTCATTTGTCATATGTACTAGATGTATATATTACATGACTTGTTTATTGCATTTCCCATTTACTAGAGCGCTTACTCCTTTTTATCCCTTAAAGTACTCATAATCTTGCCTGGTTTAAGGTTGGGGATCCTTCTGTTAAAAGCGACTGGAGTTGGTTGGCTGGTTCATTTCACAAACATACACGATATCCCTCGAACTTGACCTGCTCTATTTACCCCCTTTCATTTCTCTACACGTTACTAGCTGGTAACATCTTTTGCATATATCCTTTTGGCATACAAACCGCTAACACGGCGGAGGACGGGAGACCAGCTATATACTTTCCTATCCATTTCCCTTTGCGTTGCTTCTGACCCCCGGAACGGTTCCCACTGTACATTTTATGATACCCCCTTATTTGTACCTCTCTTCCCTGACGAGTTTTACCAAGCTGACGTTTCATTTATCTCATGGCAAGTTGTGTATTGAGTTTTGTTGTACCAATATGTACAAAATCGTCCATAAATGCATAACTCTCTTCGAGCTGATGGATAGGCTACCAATTTAACAGCCGTTTACATACAATGTCAGAATATACTTTATCTCCGAGAAATTAGCAGAACGGCAAAGGAAGGGAAAAACGAACACATTATCTATTTACGAGCGTGTAAGAGGGGGGAATATGAAAAAGGAGGAACAACAACCTCGTTAAGGGTGTGGAACAAAAGTGCCGAACAAACAATCAGGCAAGCAAACACGCAAGTAAGCAATGGTGAATAAGTTGCTTTCTAAAAAAAAACTTAACGGAAGATCATCAGTGGGGGTTTTTTGTAGGTGATTATTTCTCGGTGCTGCTGGGGTTTGGTGTAGACTGTTTTGCTGCTGAGGCTGATTTCTTCTTGTCGTCTTTCTTCGCCATGCTGTCGGCCATAAGCTCTTCGAAGGCCATGTACTCTCCCTCTTCGTTGGGATCACGTTCAGCCTGTAAAATGGTTAGCTATGCAACGGCTTCACATCAGCATGGAAATAGCTGCTATGAACATACCTGCTGGAAGTATTTTCCGATAATAACTAGAGCCTGGGCGCGCTCTACCCGCTTTTCAAGACGGATAGCCTTGTCATTCAGTATCTGGTCGCAGACTTCACGCAAGACACTCTGGATCTCGAACTTGCTTCCTCTCCAGGCAGCAGCGAGAATCTTGCCAGTGACTTTCTTCTCATACTCGGCCTTCTTCTCATCAGTCCAGTCCTCACCACCTTTTTCTTCGAGCTTGGCCATCTCCTCCATGGTCATCTGGGCATCTAGCGCAGTCGAGATGGTAGTCCATGTCTCCCTGGCCAAGTTACCCTTATCCTTTAGTCTCGAGAAGAACCCTGATATGCCGAGGAATTTCTGTGACTTGAGGAAGGATGTTCCCTTGGAGTTATATGTGCTTCCGATAGCGTGTAAGATTTCCAGACCAAAGGACTCCATTTTCAAGTTCTCGACTTCCAGTCTGATCTTTTCCTGGAATGCGGCGGTGACGTCAGGGCCCTTGTCAGTCTCGGTCCAAACGCTGAGTCGATCAACCAATTTGCGCGCAAGGGTGTTGACTCGTTCTTCACGTTGCTTCTTCCTTTCTAGTTCGAATGCAGCCAGCTGTTCCCGTTGTTCCTTAGAGAGGCCCTTTTTCTTCTCCTTTTTCCGCAGCTCTTTCTCCTCGGGTGATAAGCCCTCTGCTTGCATTCTAGCTTCTTCCTCAGACTTATCCATGATTGCCTGCTGTCCCCAGTTCCGTCGGGGAGTGCTGGTACCAGAAGCAGCCTCACTTGCTCCGGCAGTTCCCTCCTTCTTAGCTTCATCATCCTCAGCGACAGTAGCACCGGGAGCAGTGGTTGTAGTCGTCTCGCCAGACTGCGGCTTTGCTGGGTCCTTCACGTTTAGTTTGGCGTCTGTTTCCTTTGCGAGTTCTTCATCTTCTTCCATCTGCTGCATGGTAATGTCCATTGTCTTAGTGAGGTCCTTCATCAGTGATATCTCGCCTATCCAGTCGACGAAGGCTTCACCGCCGAAAATCATGCTAAACAGCTCCGCGGGATCCTCTGTAGAAATTATCTTCGTTAGTCCTTCAATGACCAAGTCAAACACGGAGTAGAACGCCTACCAAAGCCACCACCAGGAACCGCCTTGTCCTTTCCGAACTTGTCATACTGTTTTCGTAGAGTCTCATCACTCAGTACTTGATAGGCTTCCCCGATCTGTTAGAACTCCCGGAAACCAGTCAGTAATTGTGCCAATGATGATGGGATGTCCGTCTAGCTAGCGTAATGGAGAGAATTACAGCTTGAAATCTGCTATGTGCTGTCTCGTCGTCGGGGTTCTTGTCTATGTCGGCGGGGTTAGCAGTGAACCACAATGCCTCAGCGGAGGACAAGTCAGCACCAACCTGGATGGGTTGTGATGGCCAGTTTCCTGTAGGCCTTCTTGATTTCGAGCAGAGTAGCCGTGGGAGGCACTCCCAGGGCGTCGTAGTATGTAGTGTCTACCACCATCTTCGCGGGCTGGCGATGTCAAAAGTCCCCCTGACAGGCTAGGAGGGGCAGGTCAAAGCTGAGCGAGGGCAGCAACTGGCGAAATCGGAGCCCAGCAGCAAGAGCTATGTATCGGTTATCGAGAACCAAAAAGCAGCGACGGTCTATATTAACTGAGATGCGCTGTATGTTGCGACGTTGCTGGTGAAATAATAGCAGAAGTGAGGTCGAGAGCGATGAAGAGCAAGCTCGGTCCGCCGCTTTTTTATGTGATCGTCATCGTCGCCAGAAGCATCCGAAATAAGGTTTTTTTTTTTTTCCTTCACAGCTGATTTCTAACTATGGGCGCATTTTTTGTTCTTCCCCCTTATTTTATCTCCGACAACTTCGAGCAGGACTTCAGACGCCAGGCCAAAGGAGCCACAGCCACAGATGACGAGGAGGGCGTCCCTCTTGTTCAACGGCTACGCATAAGGGAGGGGCCAGCTGCGAACAAGCTGAGCAGTCTCACAGCCGCTGCTTTACATCCGTGCTTCCGTATGTCTCCCTTCACTGCCTCTGTGGCGCGGGGCGTCACAGCCTCGGCGTACGCACGAAGACCTCGAGAATCGACTGCTATCTAGTATTCTAAGGACGGCATCACCCGACAAGGATGAAATAATGATTCCAGAGAGAAGAGAAGGAAAAGAGCTTCTCGGGTGCAAGATATCCTCTCTCGCTTGGGACGCTAAAAGGAAGAAAAAAAAAAAAAGGGGGGGGGGGGGGGTCCCGTTAAGTGCGTATCTAAAGAAGGGGGTCAAGTCTATTATAACCCTTCCGCCAGCCACTAATACTGAAGTATTATCGATTAACAGTGGACAATATCTGATTTCCCTGGGCTCATGAACTGTAAGAACAATCTAACCCGTCTTGCGAGATGTATGGGTGTGTGTTGTAGGAATCTGGTATATGAAAAATGTGTGTGAGAGAGAGGGGGCAATCCCTTCTTTTAAGCCCATCGCAGGGAGAAGATCTCGGCTCCGCCTCTTGACAAGGCAACTTCTACACTACCATCTTCATTCTTGATTGACCTTTCTATGGTCTCCCCTTTTCTCTCGAGAATGACCTTTCCTGGCTCTGGCTCAGGCAGTTTGTAGAACCGTCTGCCAGACCGGCTGAGGAACCCTTCTAGTCGCTCCTGGGTGACAGCAGACTCCTGTATGATACCACGCTCGGTGGCGTCCTCCAGGGCAAGGAGGACGTACTGTGTAGCGTACGGCTGGGTGAAAACACCAGCTGCTGGCTTTGGTTGGTCCTTGGCCGACTTCTGATGCGGAGCGCTATCAGTGCCTCTATAAAAAAAGAAGAATTGTTAGTTCGGCCCTTGATCCCCGATCTAGGGACGCGAGAGTGAAGAGTGAGCATAGAGAAAATGAAACCTACAGGAAGAACTTTGAATCACCACTGCAGATGGCCCTGATAAGGGCGTCTCGGTCTGCGGGAGTCTTGGCAATCGGCTTGCAGAAAGCCAAGGGATCAACGGTGTCATCTACTGTGAGGTACAGATGATGGGCAGTAATGGTAGCTATAATATGTCGACGTCAGTACCTTAATTATATCATTACGTGGAGTATAAATATATTTCATAAGATGGGGGTATAAGCGTACCGGCAACCGTTGGGCCGCAGGAACGAACGGTCTCGACGGCGGCAGAAGTGGTACAATGCTCAAGTACTATTCTTAGCTTTGGGAATCTCTCGTTGATGCTTTTCAAGGTTGGCAGGAAGGCTTCTTCTGCGTTCATCACATCAACGTCCGGCACTTCACCGTGCAGATTGAGTACCATGTCATGCTCCTGCATGGCCTCGAACACGGGATAGAAGTCTTCCAGACTAGTGACGCCCGCAGCTGAGTTGGTCGTCACTCCTAGAATAGATTAATTAGCACACAAGAGAGTTAACTAAAAAAAAAACAAAACAAAAAGGCAGCGTGCTTGAAGGGTGTGTGGGTAAGCCCGGCCAACTAGCTAGCTAATCAGCTTGTTCTGTTGTGGTGTTTTTTTAGCTTACCTTGCGGGTAGACCTTGACGCCAGTGATACCGGCAGCCGCGGTCTCCTTGATCACGTCCGGAGTAATGGAGTCATGCAGGTACAAGGACATGAGATAGTGGACATCTGGCTCGATCTCTTGGAGTTTGTTCCTGTACTCTACTGCCTGGGCTACCGTTGTAACGGGCGGCTGAAGGTTTGGCTATAGTTAAACAAGTCAGAGCCGTTGAACCAGATATATATATGTATATATCCAAAACGAAGTATCATGCATCAAGCCCGGAAGGTAAGCATGTAAGAGAGTGCGAGAGAAGAGAGAGACGAAGAAGAAGCAGAGAGATTACGGCGTAAGAATTGATTTCATGCATACCATCACAAAGACAGTATCAACCCCTCCCTTTCGAATGTAGGGTGTAACTAACTGCATCATGGCATCCTGACGGAGGTGGACATGCATGTCGGCCGCAGCCGGCAGCTCCAGACGAGGCAGAGTCCTCAACCGCATCGTCAGACAGAATCAAACGAACGTCTTCCCCGTGGGCTGGTATCTGCGCTTTCTGCAAACCTGTCAGGAAGCTTAAAAAAGAAGAAAAGAAAGCCCGCCTATCCTTTCTGCGATCCTTGACAGGCCAAAAAGTGGGATGTTTTCTTGGGTTTCGATGGAGGAGGCGGTCGGAACGGAAAAAGGTCGTCACGTGAAGGGGCCTGGTCGACAGTCGAGCAGTTTGATATCTACTGGCTACTGGATATAAAAGCGACAGAGAGGAGCTGGGGATGGGCCCGGGGGAAGGGGGGCTGCCAGAGTGCTATTTATGTCTGAGAATGCCATTGACCAGCAGTGGCCCTGTGGGAGCCGGCATAGCCAGCCAGCTACATTTATTGACTGTGACAAGTGACAGTGACAGCGGCCAGCTGCAGGCATGTTTGCTTCGTTACTTCTGGAAGGCCGCTGCAGCCATCCATCCATCCATCCACTGCTGGCCTCTGGATGCCGTCGCATCTCTCTCTTGCCACCGCCGCCCGCCTAGCTACATCCATTTGTTTGATCTTCCCTGCAAGGCCTGAAAAAGCTGCTTCTTGCTGGCTTTGCTTTGCTTTGCTTTGCTTTCGTCGTCTTCTTGCTTTGGCCTGCTTGATGGCACTGCTGACTAAGCTACTCCCACAAAGGGGCCGCCTCCAAAAGCTTACTTTTCCTCTTTTTTTTTTCTTCTCCTTTTCTTATTTTTCCCTTTCTTTCTCCTGCATAAAAAGAACCAACAACAACATCACCAAACACCAGCAACCTCTCGACGCTCCGTCGCTCCTCCACCGCCATCCACGACCCAATCCTCCCTCTTCTCTCCCTGTATATCTCCTTTTCCTCTCCATATCCTTGGCTTCTGAGTCTGTACACTTGTGATTGGCTGTCCCGCAGGCCTCTTTTGAGCTGGTCCTCGAGCTTCCCTTGTTCCCTTTTCATGCTCCATATCCTCCTCTTCACCTGCCACACAGAAGAAGCCCCTGCATAAGCCGCCGCAATGAAGGCAACAGAGATTGTCTACTACCTCTGCCATCCCCAGGAGCTCAGAGCTATCATCCAATGGTGTGTACTGACCCGCGCGCATACCCTGCCAGGCTGCATCGCTTGCTGACCGCAGCCACAATAATGGATAAAAAGGACTACGTACCACGAGCCTGTACATACAAGAGACCCTTCCAAGGAGACAGAGACGGAGAAGAAGTGCTATGAGTTCCTCAAGCTCACCAGCAGAAGTTTCTCTGCTGTCATCATGGAGCTCCATCCAGAGCTCCTGATGCCCGTATGTCTGTTTTATCTCATCCTTCGTGGCCTGGACACGGTCGAGGACGACACGTCGATACCTCTGGAGACCAAGGAGCCCATACTGCGCGGTTTCAAGGACATACTTGAAGAAGATGGCTGGACCTTCACGGAGAACCGTCCGGAGGAGAAGGACCGGGAGCTGCTGGTTCAGTTCCACAACGTCATCACGGAATTCAAGAAGATCAAGCCAGCTTACAAGGTTATCATCAAAGATATAACCGAGAAGATGGGCAACGGCATGGCAGACTACATCAGACGCGGCGAAGAGGACGACGAAATAGTCAAGACAGTTGAAGACTACGACCTCTACTGCTACTATGTGGCCGGTTTGGTGGGCGAGGGCCTCACCCGCCTGTTTGTCGAGGCCGGCTTTGCGCGGCCAGAGCTGCTGGAGCGTCCGGAGCTGTTCATCTCCATGGGACGGTTCCTGCAGAAGACGAACATTATCCGTGACGTGCGCGAAGACCACGATGACAAGCGTCGTTTCTGGCCCCGTGAGATCTGGTCGAGACACGTCAAGGAGTTCAGCGACCTCTTCAAGCCCGAGTTCCGCCAGCAGGCCCTTAACTGTAACTCTGACATGATTCTCAATGCCCTCTCGCATGTAGAGGACTGTATATACTATCTCTCCGCGCTCCGGGAGCAGAGTGTGTTCAACTTCTGCTGCATTCCGCAGACCATGGCCATCTCGACTCTGGAGCTCTGCTTCCGCAATGGCACCATGTTCGAGCGAAACATCAAGATAACCAAGGGCACCGCCTGTCGGCTTATGATAGATTCTACGCAGAACGTCCGGGTTGCCTGTGACGTGTTCCGTCGTTATGCTCGAGCCATTCACCAGAAGAACACCTCTAAGGATCCTAATTTCCTCAAGATAAGCATGGCTTGCGGACATGTTAGTTCTCCATCTCCCTCTTTTTTATTTTATGCGAATATCTGCTAATTGGCATATTATCACAGGTCGAAAAGGTCATTGAGCGTATCTTCCCTTCGCAGTCGCCGGAAGCGGCTGCTCGAAGACTAACCAATGAGAAATCCCCCGAGCAGCTGGCCCAAGACGAAGCCGACGCCGAAGCAAAGAAAGACACCATGTACATAATGCTCACCATCTTCGGCGTCCTGCTCTTTGTCACTATAACAATGGTACGTTAAGTAGTCATTCCACTGCCAACCCAATGCACTAACTCTTTCTAGTTCTTTGTTGCTTGGTTATTTGGTGCCAGGTTCGACCTCGCAATCGAGGAGTTCAAAAAGGGAAAGCTCATGCCCGGCCCGGCCCAAACCCATGGTGGTGAGCTCTAAGTCACACCACCAGCTTCTTTAACGCATTTACGACTCGACCTTCTTCTTCGGCCTTTTCCCCCCCTTTTTCTGTTGCTCGACTTTTTACCCTTTTGCATCTACGAAACCATTCTACTGTATGATATCAACACCCTTTTGACGTCTATACTAATAATGTAATACTCCAGCGAGGTCTTTTGCCTCCCATTCCTCTTTTCTCTCTGTTTATCTTACCCTTTCCTTACCAGCACGGATGTCAAATTACAACACAATCCTTCTCAATGGTTGCTGTTGTGCCGAAGATGTGCTGAGATCGATGGCTTGACCTGCGTCCCCTAGGGATTGCGGCAACTACCTGATGTACTGGATTTCTGTCGACCGATTAGCTTCGGACAATGGCAGACGTCTATTGAAACTCCGGTCACATTTCTTCGAAACCACCCCCCGTAGATAGGATAGAGATAATAATGAAGCCGAGGAAACAGCTCGACCAAATTCTACCCACACCCCTGTTTTACATTATGTGACCTGTTGACCTGCATCGTATTCCATCTGTCAATCTATCTATCGTCTATCGCCATCCTCAGCGCCGGTCCGCTCGGGTATTTTTCTTCTTCGCCTGCCAGTGCCAGCCCAACCCAACGCTAGGTAACCACCGTAGCCCGACCCGACCAGCCGTCGAATGATCGCAGCGCATCTCGACTGCCAAACATGCCAGGATCCCAGCAGTCTGCATTCCGGTGCTCCTTTTCTCTCCTACGTTCCTCTCTCTCTCTCTCTCTATCTATGCTGCCTCTTTTCTTTTTCTCTTCTTTCTTTTTTACCTTATTTCTATCTTAATCGCTGCTGTTACTCTCTCCCACTCTCCCCCCCTTGCCTGCCTGTCCTTACCTCCCATCGCCCCCCACAAAGAAGCCTGAAGCCCAGTCGCCAGGCAGCATTTTTTCTAGGTGTCCACAGCCCTTCCCGCGCTCAAAGGGGAGATCGAACTCGGCTGCCGCATCACCTAAACTAACTTACTCAATAAAAAATAAAAAATAAAAAAAATAAGCCCGCCTCGAGTCTCTCTCCTTTCTCTCTACCTCCCGACCCGACGAGCTTCTTCTCCTTTTGCTTCTTCTACTTCTTCTTCTACTTCTTTCTACTTCGCCTGCCTTTTCTTCTTTCTGCGTGCTTGTGCTCGTCGCCGGCTGGATGGGCGATAACGAGCCCTCGCACACTCCGGCGACTTCCAGCGCTATGCCCGGCGAAAGCCCACCCCGGCTGCGAGCCGCTTCAGCCTGCGTTGCCTGCAACAAGAAGAAGGTAAGCCGTCTCTCGTCTACGGCGGGCGCCAGCAGCTCTCTCAGACGTCGCAGTCTGTCTTTTCTTTCTACTCGTCTGGGCTGGCTGGCTGTCTGGCTGGCTGGCTGTATCAATCGCTTCTTCTACCGTCGAGTTTTCCACTAACCGAAGGCCGACGGTGCCGGCACCATCGCTAGATTCGCTGTATATACCCGGACGGCGGCCAGCAGTGCTCGAACTGCGCCCGGAACCACTGGACTTGCTCGTACGCATCGCCTCCCTGCCTCACTCTTCCTCCCCCCCCGTTCGCCCTTGCGCATCTCCCTCGTCGCGCGTAGTGCTAGTGTGTGTGCGCGGTTCTATTGGGCTGATCTCGTCGCATTTCTTCTCTCTCTCTCTCTCTCTTTTAGACCCCGCGAGCGCAAGCGAAAACGCCGGAAGGTCGCTTCAGACACCAAGGAAGAGCCCGAGACGACGCCTACGGGGACAGAGCACCTCAGCGCAGCCCCTTTACTGCCTCCGTCACGGTCGCAGCAGTGGGAGGCCGGGTATCCGGGATGGGAGCCTCGTCGCGCCATCCTTGCCGATGGCCAGCCTTCCGGCACATCGGAGTCCTCAGGGGGTCCCGGCTCCACGGCGCCAAACAATAACCATAATAATAATAATAACAACATAACCGCCGCCGCCAGCAATAGTAATAATAACAGCCATAACAACGCCCCGGCGACCCCGTCAGCGACTACGACGACCACGACCACGACAACTGTGCAGGATGCAGACGGGAACACGCTCTACTCGCAGAATGCCTCGAGCTCGGTGGCTCTGCGCTCCCAGCAGCACCAGCAGCAGCAGATGGAGCCTGGCCTGCATGAGCCGGCCTCAGGGGGCAGCACAACCTTCCTCGGCCGGTCAGAGTATATTCGCGGCGAGGTGCCTATCAACGAAGACCGGGCAAAGGCCTACCCGGCCGTTGCTACGGAGAGTCTGATGGAGGAAGACATCCAGATACTGCAGCTGCAGCATGCGTTTGACCTCCCGCCTCGCGCCGTCAGGGATGGTCTGATCGATACCTTTATGAAGAGATGCGCTCCATGGATGCCTATAGTGGAGAGGAGCTGGCTCATGGAGCGCCGGGACAGCCAGCCATCCATCCTGCTCCTCCAGGCGGTCTTCCTCGCCGCCAGCCGGGTATCCTCTGCCCCCGCCGTGACCGCCTACGCCTCGTCCAACGAGTTCTACCGTCGAGCAAAGGCCCTGTTCTGGTCCGGGTACGAGAAGAATACCATCACCGTCATCACCGCCGTGTGTATCCTGCACTGGTACAACCCCGAGGGCCCCGAACATGTTTCCATTAATACCAGCGGATTCTGGAGCCGCATCGGAGTTGGCCTGGCATATCAGATCGGGCTACACAAGGAGCCTCCGCCGGGCCGTGAGGCACCCTTGCGGCGGAGACTGTGGTGGACACTATACGTAAGCCTTTTGTTGGAAGAAAATGACACAATGATACTTAATGACGGTAGCTTATAACACTCTTCTTTTTTTTTTTTTTTTTTTTTTTGAATTAGGCACGAGACTGCTTGATATCCGCCAGCCATGGCCGGCCGCGGGCAATCAACACCGAGGACAACGATGTCCGACCACTCACTCCTGAAGACTTCTATGGATGCGGAGCCGACGATGCTCTGTTCCTCGCCCATGTCGAGGTGTCTTCGCTTCTCGGCGACGTCACCCAGGCCTGCTGTCGCCGGACGCTGACTCGGCCTAAACGAACCAACATCGAAAACGCCATCTACAGATGGTCAAGGGAACTACCCGAACAGCTCCGTCTCTTCCAGCGAGTCCTGCCTCCAGAAGGATCAACGGCGTCCAAGCTGGTGCTCATGCCTTATCACTTCGAAGCACGACAGCTGCATGTCACATACTTTGTCGTGCTCGCCATTCTCTACCGGGCCTCCTCCCCAGGCACCATCCCCTCGGCAGCAGCCATTCTCGCCTCTTCCTTCGTCGCCGGCATCTTCGAAGACTTCCTTGCGAGAGACGAGATCCGGTTCCTCGGCCCCATATTCACCTTCTATCTGCTTGCGTCGGGCGTCGGGCTGGCCTCGTGCTACTCCTACCCTCACCTCTGGGAACGAGCCCAGCAGGACCTGCGAATAATATGCAGTTCTCTCAGGGAGCTGTCGAAACGCTGGCCCTCTGCCATCGGCAGCCTCAAGGCCCTACAGAGCATGATCGACGAGACTGCAAAGGCTGCTCGGCCCTCAGAGCGGCCCCAACCCACTCCACTTACCAGCGATCAACAGGCGACCTTCTGCGGCTTTGGCACCGATCTATGCCGGCTCGGAGACGTCATGCTCGCCCACTACCCGCACGACATCGTCGACTCGGGCAGACAGGAAGACGACCAGTATGCCAGGACGGTATCTGACATGATGACCGCAGGGATACTAGCCGAGCTGAAAACACCGATGGACTCTGCTTCGGCCCCCGTTGACGAATACCTGCCTCTCGCGTCGGTGATAGACCATAATACCCAGCTTGCCTTTGGGGTAGAGGAGCCTACCTCCATCATCCCCGACGAGGTCCTCTATGGCCAGTACGAGGGCATCGGCAACTGGCTGCTCCGGGGCTGGGACTGCACAGCCGAGGCTCCCTGGCATTAGTCGTGTGCCTTCTCCTAACCACAAGACCTAAACACAGGCATGATATCTCTCCCACCCTCAATTGAATTATACCCCCCCTTTTTTTCTGTTACTCTCCCAATCAATCACGTGACTCTTCCCCGGCTTTTCGGCTGTCGGGAAACCGGGAAGCTTTGGCGCCTCCCAGGCCAGAGGGACTAAGCGGCGATTTCGATACGAGAACCACCAGCGTTTCTGGCTCTGACGCTCCCTTTTCCTGCAGATACGAGAGAGCCGAGGATGAAGACGATGTCCAAGTGCTGTCCAGCATCAAGCATCAAGTTTTGGAGGCTTGTCGTGACTGCCCTGGCCCTGGCTAGTCTGCTTAGTCTGGGGTGCCTACCATGCCTGCCATCTTTTGTTTCAACTGCAACCATTGACTCCCTCAGTACCAATACTGCGATTGAGTGCGTTTGGTATCACGCTATATAAAGCACGTTCCTACTACGCCAGCCAGTCTTATGCTCTTGTGGCTTCAATGGACAGCTTGTCCTTAACAAGTGAAAATAGCAAGGAAGTTGTTTTT